CTGTTCAACCCTCTACTAGATATATGAAACTTACGAATCTGTCGGTGCATCACGTGACCTTAATGACAATGAACAAGAGCTCAACGCTCTCAGAACTAGCTCTAAACATACATCTTAAAATTACTTTTGAGTAAACGTAGGTGTAGACCAGAAGATAGCCCATTTCTTATCCAGGATGACACAATCTACAATGATCCCACAGATACATGTGAAATATTCAGCAACTCTTTTGAGAAAAAAATTATTGAAAAGCAACTTGCCAACCTCGACAACTTGACACATACATCCAGTAACTGAACAAGTGTATATCCCAGTGCTCATAATGAGTATGAGGCAATAAAAAGTCTTCTGAATACTGACAGTATCCCTTCAATACTACTCAAAAAAATATGGTGATAATCCGCCAACCATACTTCTTAGGATATTGACTGTGACATTTTATGCAGGCGTATACACAGGTAACTGGAAAACAAGCTACATCACATCACATTTAAGACTGGGAACAGAATGCTGTTAATTACAGACCTGTAAATATAACCCCAGCTCTTTCACGAATCACGGGGTTTGCAAAACAACAGTATCTCAGAATACTAACCAATTTGAAATCCTATCTCTGAATCACAGCATAGTGTCCTAACAAGTAGATCGTACATGAACATTGTGTGCTGTGACCACAAAACACAGCGCTGCGAATTACAGGAATTAGCTGTAGCCCTTTACTTTGATATAACTGAGACATTTGATAAAGTATCCGCCAAAATATTTCATGACAAACCATATTCAGTTGAAAACCATGACCCTGTGATTAGCTGACTTAAACAATTCTTGGATGATTGATACCGTATCACCCAAGTTAACTGAAAAACATCAGCATCCAAGAGGGTAACTAGTGAGGTTATACGAGGGAGTTTTAGGATCTCTTTTATTCACAATGCACATCAGGAGCTTTTCTAGCTTCTGTCATCTGAGAAAGATTTTCCTGTACGCTAGCAACCTGAAGGTAGTCTGCTCATGCTGTAGAGACAAGATATATAACACCTCCATTTTTATGCAGCAGGATATAAACAAGGCGGCAGTGTAGTGTACAATGTACAAACTTCAGCTGCATTGGTGTTGGATGCAGTGACCTGGGCCTACATCTTGAAGCAGATGGAATGCTGACATTTGAATATGACCTTAGACCTTGGCTCAAGACACTCGAATGATCTATATTTTCCATTCAGCTTAAAGGCAAGCAAACCTATGTCTGGTATAGTCCGCACATTCCATAAACGTGAGTCTAGGCTGATGCTACATTAAGCTTGTGGCTGCCCAGTGTTTGGATATTGTCCGTTTATACTCAGTAGCCTTCAGGTGATTGACATGTTGAAAATCCAAGGAATATGTATATACTTACCAAAGAGGAATTTTTGGCATGAATCGTGATCACAATCACTTTATACAACGTGACAGTAGGGCTAGAACACCTTTGGAAAAGGAGAGTTAAACGTAACGTTGCATTTCACTGCATGCTCGTACATCAATTTATCGCATCATTCAAGCGTGCTGACATTGCATTTTGAAAAAAACCGTCAGTTAGGTGGGTCCAAATAGGTTTCTAGCGCATTTTATCGCCTGGTACCGGCCATAGCTAGTCGGATTTGGTACAATTCATGACAGATGCTTCAGTTTCCTTTACATTCGATATTATAAATACAGAAGCATAAATTATTCATAACAGCGTATTTCGAAAGTACATTCATGACGTTTTTGCAGCCATAATCAATAATTTGCCATAGAAGGGTTACTATATAGATTAAATCGGCAAAATTATGTAGCAGCATATTCATGAAGACTTACTAAATAGGTTAATCTGATATAACCGTACGATCAGTTCACAGTTTTTCTAACCTGTGACCTGGACAAACACACATGTGGTCTATGCTTCAGTCAAACCCTCATTGCTGTGTGCTACAATTGCAATGCTACGAAAAAGGAAAGAGAAAAAAAGCTGGAGAATCAATGACTATGAGCGTTTGACAAAGTCTGGCTGTATGCACTTGGACAAATCAAGGTATGTTTAATTAAAGGCTGGAACTTAAACTGGTTTTTTACTAGAATGAACAATCAATAATGAAAGAAGAGACAAATTACAGAAACTCAATACAGTGCATAATAAGACGTAACAAAATACAACAGATTCGAACTAATTGAAGGAGGTAAGTGTAAATCACATATGTATCTGCGGCTAACTTTATCATAACACTTTATTTCTGTCTGTGACTCTTTTCATGATCAGTGTCACCAGGTGTCAAACTTCCGGCATCAGATTAAGAGTCAGAACTTGTATGGGGCAGGTTGTCTTGGCAGACCACTAAAGCCAGCTTTAGGGTGAAAACACGAAATGGGGAACTAACAAGCATAGAAGAGCAATGTCATCATCATCAAGTACTTGCTGCAATTCCGTTATAAAGAGCCTGAAAAAAATAAAATGTTTTTCTTCACTATCGTGAGAGGATCGAAGCCATCCTTCTCACCGTCAATTTTGCCTGGCCGGTAAATTCACCCTCCCTAACATTTTTTGATGTTACGCTCTTTTAAAATGGTGGTTCGGTTACATTTATGTTACACCTCAAACTCTGTAATATCCTGTTAAAAACATTGTTTCTACGAGTAGTATATCACAAGCATATCGAGGAGTTGAGGTTTATGGATCTAGGAACAAAGACGATTGAGTTACTCGAAAATTATCGGCTGTCTTCGAAACTGACAACAGTCAATTATGCCCAACATATCACCCCTCAGCGACTAGAAGAGAAGACGGACTTGCGGGTAACTTGATATTTTTGGCAGAACAAGCAACTCAAACAAAAATGATACAAAAGTTGTTATTATAGTAGCAGAATGTGACCTTCAAGCATGTGACAATTTAACAAACTCGAAAACATGACAATCAATCGAGGAACTATAGGCGACGGGTGATTGATCTTGATCAGATTTCAACACATATACAAGTGAGGCAAATATTTTACTGACAGTTTATATCACGGATTGATATTAACCTGAGAACCATTGGAAACCATTCTATAAATAATCTCTCACTTTCCGTCATAACTTAGTTTGACTCAATGGAACTAAAAGTAACTTGTGAGGAAGCAATTTTTCGGACAATAAATGAAGGACACTATGTAGCGACAATTCAGAATCCCTGACGTATAACACTTAAGACCGTCCGTTTGAATACTTAAGCATTTCTAGTTTGTCCTTGAGACGGTGACCCTGAGGAGTCCGCGCGCCACGTAAGTTGACCTACTTGAAGCTCCGTGCGGACTTTTTGTATTTACAGTTGCTTGGCTTCCGATTAACGGTACACTGTCTATGAAGACTTTGCAATCGGCACATAAGCATTTATTAGCTATCTTTATTGTTTCACACAGACTGATGACAACTTGATATTAGGGTAAGCCCAGTCTGACTGAATTGTTCATGTTATAGGATTTATAAACTTTCGAGCTAGCTCCTGTATAGCTTCTATATCACTTCGGATCTTGTTATCACACGAGCATAAAGCAAACGCCATAGATATAATGAGCCATCGCCCAATCTTCAGATCATGCACGGTCTTTTATTTATTTAAACACAAAAATTGATACGTGGCATCAAATACATATGCGCCACATAAACCACTCAGTTTATGTGAGGGCTGGGATACTTCCCGGGTGTCAAAACCGAAGTAGGTGGTTTACTTAGAGGACTACGCCCTGCGTCCTTACTTGAAGGTCTAATCCACAAAGTAGTACAGCAGCGCCTGGAGATGCAGTCCCATGGTAGGCTGTGACCAACAATAGGTTCATACGCCATTTGTTCCTTCAGGATCCTGAAGTACGTGTGCGCTATTGGTTTGGAATCAGGGTTTTCTAATTCCATTAGGCGGACCCTCTGTGTCCACCAACCCGGTTAAAGTGCCGGACATTCACCAGCCATTTATGATCAGAATTATGACGGTCATACAACTCCAGACTCATTGTAATACCCAATGAAACTTACACACTTTGAGTCTTCTTCTTAGTTATTAGTCCACTCTTTTGTTAGCTAATTTGTATTTCAGAGATTCAGGCTTGTTAATTCCAACAACTATGTGGTGAGTTTAAATACGTTCCATTCTTTGACGTCTAGGTTCTGCGTTGGTATCGATAACTTACACATTACATATTTCATTCGAAAACGCCGACAGACCTGGACGCAACTTATATGTATTCTTAGTTAATTGTTTGTTGGATAGTATTGTAAACTAGGTTTGATAACTTCTATCTAATATATTGCACCACTTTATTCTAACGTTACCCTAATCTTTTCTTAGAGATTTTAGATGATGGCGTTTTTAGTGACCGAGACATATTCATTCTTTACATTTTTCTAGTTATTGAGTTTTAACATCATCTTGTATTCTGTTACGTCAACATTTTTGTGGAGATTGGCCAGTTTAAAGTTTGTTTTCACCCCGAACTAACGTGTCCCTGGAGCACGGGAAATTAGCTTCCTCTTAGTTTATGATTGTGTTTTGCTTTATCGATATTATTATTTCCACCAGTTTTCATCTGGTCAATTCCTTCACAGTTTAGTGATTTATTTATTTATTTGAACATAAATATTGGTACAAACAGGCAACGAATACATATGCGCCACAGAAGTCACTTGATTTATGTATGAGCTGTGCCCAGACAGAAACAGTGTAGTGATGTAAAACACATCTCCGTTACCTGATCTACGTATGTGCTAGATCCTAAGTTGTCTAATTTCATGTACACGATTTCTGGTGTCACTAACATAAGTAAACTCCCCAACCATAACGTATCAACTCTAAGACAGTTTGTAACCGTTTAGTTTTAGTTCCCATAAAGTCTATTTGCTAATGTTTGCTTTTTTCATCCTTCAGTAACTTGGCTGATCCCTAAATTTGTATTGATATCAACGAATAAGTGCCCTCATCGAGAAACCTTCAACTTCGCTTTACGTCTAACATGTGGTTTAGTGATGTATACGATATCGCATTAGGTTTGGGGAACTCCGTCCCACAATATTTGTGCATATTCTTATCGACATTGCTTGTTTTGACGCCTTTCTCTTCTGTTGACGCTGTTCAGGAATTCACCGTTTATCGCGCCCAACAATACGATTTCCAAGGTGTTCGTATTGGTATGTTTCTTTTGCACACGTAAATGACACAGCTTTCTAGGTAGTCGATTGTCGTCTGTAAATTGTGAAGCCCAAACACAAAGCAATAAAATAGTTGGTCGGAATTGCCTTCTTTTACGGTTAGCAGAAGTGACAGTAGATATTATCAAAGATGCCATTTACCACAAAGTTGCTGGAATTATAATTATTCTACCATCCTATCCGTGGTCACAAGCATTAATAAATGTAACATTACCTATTCAACATTTTCTCAGCATTTTATCCATGTAGAAAAGGAGCTATTAACTGATGAATTTCAAATCCCTATCTACTTTACTTTTAACAGTTCATCAGTACAGGAAGTATTTGAACAGGTTAGTCAACTCACTAGGTCCAATACACAGAGCTCAGGGTTATCTGGTAAGTTCTGCTAATATTGTTCTACTTTCAGCCTTAACTCGAGCGATATCGTCAACTGGGTACCGATTGTTAACTGGATCACCAGTACCAAAGCCTATAGCTGATAATTATGTGTTAAACATAGAGGTAACAACATTTTTGTCATACTTAATTTTTAGGGTCGTCTTGGGAAAGAGAGTGCTAAATCCACTATTATTATTTGTGCACATTATGATACGATTTCAGCAATCCCTGTAAGTTTAACATTCCTGTAAATTGTCAAATATTGAACTAATGTGACGGTGTTCTAACTTTGAATATTCACCAGTGTTTTCTCTTAGTTGTCCTAATATACACTAGGAACGCTGCAAAATAAACATATGGTCAAATATATATATTCTATTAACACTTCACCTTACTGACGATTTCTTAAAGCAGATTTTTTCCAGTATGCTCGCTCTTTGTTATGTTATAGTGTTGTTGTTTGGCATATACCAAGCATATATATACATTTGTTAATAACGTTACTGTATCTACTGAAAGATGAAGTTCCATTCAGAAATTTAATTACACACTAGTCACTTCGTTTCTTCCATGTCCCATGCAACTAAAATAGGGTAATTTATACTCGTATTTTACTATACAACGTGGAACGTATGTACTTGTATTCATCATACAGATTATCTGGTAGAATTCGAATCTTTCAGCTTAGCTTTTAAAACAGTAACCCAATTATAATAAAAATTGTTAGTACCCACCTAGATACGATGTAATTTTCCTGAAGCTTATCATCTGTTAAAGGTTACATCGTATTTAAATTGATTAATTCTGGCAGAATCTTCAACAGGCTATAAAATTACTTTATATCACAAAAATCATTTAACTTGTCTATATTACCGTAACTCTAATCGTAAAATCATGTCTCCAGTGTTTTGTCATTGTATGTTACAGAGTTTGGCTTATGGAGCCGATGCAAATGGTAGTGGTGTGGTTATCTTACTGGAACTTGCTCGTCTATTATCACGTCTCTACGTAAATGAAGCTAATAAGTTGCCGTAAGTGTTTTAAAAAATTACAATTTGATTAGATGTTTAAAAAAATTTATTCGTTATATTATACAATTGATTCTGAGAGTTCTCTATAATGACATAAGTGAGACTATAATTTATGAACAACCTTTAAGCGACGCTAAAGTAACCTTGAGAGTGTTCACCTAATAACTAGAACCAAATAAGGGTTATTAAACAGCGTGAGGAATTAGAACTATGATTTACAGTTGATGGTTAGCGTTAGAGATTAGATTTAGAGTTTTCATCACGAACTGACATCAGCCATAATGCTAAAACTCTATTTAGCCAAATTGATGAGTGAATTTCACGCCAAAATTTCGTTATTTGATGCTTTGAAAACAAGATTCACTATCTAAACATTCTACATATGTTATGTAAAGTCGTCTACACTTCACTCAGTTCCCAATACTCTTTTAGTTGTACAAACAAGCAATTGTTGTTTTTTTTTCGGGTAAAGGCTCCTGCTTTTCGGTCTTTTTTCGCTTAACTGTTACGACGTTCAAGTATAATTCTGTATAACGCCTCAAAATTTTTTGAAAGGTTTACGTATGTATAATAAAACCACTAAGTGAGCAATGCTAAACTCAGAGTTAGGGTGGTATATAGAGAATTTAAGTTGATTAATCAAATCACAAATCAATATCTTATCAGTTCCATTTTTTGTTATACAGGCTTATAGCTGGTCTTGAGCTTCAGGTTTAGCTGCGCCACACTTGATTTGTGTGTAAGCTGTGATACTGACCGGGTGCCCAGACTGAAGCAGGTGACTTTCTTAGGGGGTCACACCTGGAGCCTTCAGCCTAAAGGTCTGATCCACAGGGAAGTAGAGAAACGTCAGGAGATGCACTCCCATGGTACTCGGTCACCAGTAATTAGTTCATACGCCATTCGTTTTCTCAGGATCCTGGAGCCCATGTGCACTATTGGTTTGGAATCAGGGTTTTCCAACTCCCCTAGGTGCATTCTCCGTATCCACCAACCCGGTTAAAATGCCGGAGTTTCGCTTTTCATCCTCTCAATTCCGTAAACAACACCCCCGACCCGAGGAGGCAATGTGTAGGACTTGCCCAACAATAGCTGTATATACGTGGTCATGTGAGAGCACTTTAAGAGGGACAGAAGACTCTTCCCACTGTCGGCCGTACCGGGGCATTTGGGGCAATATTTATAAACAATCCGTTTAACATTATCACTTTTACTGTTTTGATAAAAAGAATTTCAAACGTTCTTAGTACATTACTATGGTATTTCTTTCATAAATCTTATGCCGTTAAAGGTATGATTCAGTTGTTTCCAGTTTTTTTATGTAAAATCTTGAAAGTAGTTTCTTCGACTGTGTTTAGCTCATCTCTATATTGAGTACTTTTTTTTATCCATAAAAAGGCATAACATTCAATGAATTTGTTTATTCAATTTAGTCTATTATAATATTTCAATTTTTCTTATTCAGATATCAAATTGTTTTCCTTTTAACTGGTGGTGGAAAATTCAACTTTGTTGGTTCCAAACGATGGCTTGATCAAAATATTGAAGATTCTGTTGGCTTAAGTATGTTGCTTAGCATTAGTGTAAACCAGTGTTAATCCACAGTCGTCTATACTTTTTTTGAAATGATACTTCTACTACTATTATTACACTTTTAAGAAAATCTTACGGAAGATTTGGTCTTAATAATTCCTTTATCATGTACATATCCATGTACTTGACTTTGATTCGTCCTCTAAATGTAAATATCCGGTGTGTAAGATCTATCTTTTGTAACCGAATTAAGTGGGTTGGGGTGGGGCCCGAACATATGATCCAATGTTGAAATTCTTAACCACTAAGCCATTGCTACATTCTTGAAAGTTCATAAAATCAACATTAGTAGTTAATATCTGCGATTTAAAAGGTCAATTTCTTCTTGTAGGTGACTAGTATCTCCTCTCAAGAAAGCTATGTTCTCTATTCTTTAGCACGTTCGATATTATTTTTATCTGTCTGTACTAAGTTATACAGATTAAGCATCTCATACATTTCGTAGCATAATAGATTAAGGAATTTAGATCAGTTTCAATATGACCATCATTGTAAGTGGATACTGGTTATACGACTATTGGAAAAAGCAAGGCGTTATGTTTAGGAGTTATTGGCATTGAAATATAGTACCTATGTTTCGTCCTACTTGGAATTCCTACTTCATCCTAGTGTTGATGTTTTATACGTAGACTCAAACCCCAGTATGTATCACTTTAATTAGTTACCCATTAAGCTAGTGAGTCGATTTCGACCCCCACCACTTTGTCTAACACATATGATTCACATTGGTATTTTTGCGATATTGATATTCAAGACTATATTGGTTTAGCTAGTGAATGTAAAATAGAATAAAATAGGCAACCTCTATTCCATTACTGGCCTTCTAGTTGAAATATAATAAAATTGCGGTTATATACGCAATATCATACATAGAATTCACTTAAGGAGCATATATGCTAACCGAAACTGATCAGATAAATACACTTGTGAAAAATATTCTACTATTTGGGACTGCATCTCCTATAGTTGCTCCATTGCCTTGTGGATCAGATCTTTATGTCAAAAACTTCGAGTGTGGCCCCCTAAGAAAACCACCTACTTCAGTTTGAGCACCCGGGCAGTATCACAGCCCTCACATAAATCGAATGATTTATATGGTGTGTATCTATTTGGTGCCTGCTTGTATCAATGTTTATGAGAAAAAATAAGACTGCTTCTAAGCATTATTCCTATGATGATCGTTGCATTCATAACGGTTTCACTAGTGACATGTTCAATTCAGTAATTTCTTTATTGTTTTTTTTTTCAAATATATGTATATTCCAGCTCTTTTGGATTCTGTTGCACAAGTGATCTGTTTGGAAGGTTTAGGTTCACCGAATTTTGGTCAAAATATTTATGCACATGTATCTAAGCCACCAAAAGAAGGTTCATTTTTATATCATTTTCTTAAAGCTTTAAATGTGGCCAGTCAGTTACATTCATTTCCAAATGAGGTAAATTTACCCTTATATAATACGTATACATACATATATATTTCACTGTGATTCATTTTCCCAATATAATTTTAGATACTACTGAGACTAATAATTTATTCATTTAAACAAATCAGTCAGTCATAAGCAACATGGCACAAATGTCTATCAGTCAAAGTTGTTACATTATAGTTGACTATGTGATTTCATCGTGAGCTTGATGAGTCCAAGTGCTGTTAGAGGTATGTGGACGGGTATCACTTCCCGAGTGTCTACACCATTTATCCTTAAAGGACCCAAAAAAAACTGGATTATTATTGGTCTTGATGATCACAAAACCCAAGAGAGACAATTGCTTAAACTTTGTCGCACACTACCTTATTGTGAATAGTTTTTAATCTCTCAACTCTGTACTGTTAATGTCTTACTTTCGGTAACGGTAAAGTGTACTGCTTTTAGGGTCGACATTTTCTAGTCCTTCCGTCTCATAGTTGGAAAGCAACATCAGATGTTCAGTTACTGGTGCTTGCAGTTTCACCACTCGCCAGCTAACCTGCCTAGCATGGGTAAACTTCAAGGAATGAATGTTCTGATCATTGTGATTATTTCTTTGTTTGCAAATCGTAGAATAATTCAGTTATGTTGGTCAATCTATTCTTCGTCGTTTGTATGAAAAGTATGTATCACATTACATCTACCTGATTTCTTTAACATACTTACTCCGGTTAGTCTTTATAGCAAGGTTGTTTCTTATGGATTAGGGTTGTTGACCCCATGCCCAAACCTCCTCTATGTTGGAAGAAAGCTATGGACGGCCAGACCGAGACATGGCACAAATCCATGAAGTCGCTGAAAAGTACACTGAGCCATGTTTGTAAGTGTAGACTACCTGGTTGGGATCCGTGAAACGATAGCAACCGATGGTTAGAGACCTCGAATGACATGGCTCGAAATCGTTTGCAATGGTGCAGGTGCATCCACTCTTTGTGTTCTCCCAAATTCTTCGTGTCACTTCTTTTTCTCTTTACAAGTTGATTTCACTGAATTATACTCTTTGAATAACATCTTCAAACCCTAATCTTTCCGATTACTGGTGCATCCACTCTTTGTGTTCTCCCAAATTCTTCGTGTTCCTTTTTTTTCTCTTTACAAGTTGATTTCACTGAATTATACTCTTTGAATAAAATCTTCAAACCCTAATCTTTCCGATTACTGTCTATACTTTGACTACCTCTACCACTGTAGGATTTGAATCGACAACTGCATCTCTGTTCTAATGTGGTGTGGCAACTTGAACCGAAGTACATACGTACGAAGTTCTACGTTGTTGCTGACTAAATGAGTTTTCTTTAACATATAATAAATAATTTTTCAAGAAAAATGAAAGTAAAAATCATAAAATAGTAGTTGATCACAATTATTAAGGTTAATAAAACTATTCTTACAATACTATGTCAGTTTGATAATTTCTTCTATTAAACTTATCACTAAAATTAACATAAAAACATTCACGATATTCATTAAGTTAATTCCGATTTTTATGGTGTGATGTAGTTGGATTTGCTTGTATATAAACTGCTTATGCGTGAAATATCATTATTCGTAAAGTGGAGACTGAGATGGTGTTCTGAATTCAGTAGGTAGGGCAGGGTAAAGCAAGACAAGAAGAACTAATAAGGACTCTAGGCCTCTCATGCTGGTTAAGGCATCAATGGTTTGGCACAGTGCCAAAGTCATATAAATCAGTTTTGTGGTTGGTGGTTTCGTCACATGGTAATTAACAGGGTTATTAGAACATAACACTTTGTCTATTTAATCTCTAAGTTACAATTGAGCTATAGATTCTATTTTATTTTTAATTTATTGTTTTTATGTCTATATTAAAAAAATTGTGGGGGGATATTTCATCCTAATTTCAGGTATTACTTTACAATCATCATCAATCACCAAATAATAATGAATCCAACAATAATACCATTCAAATGATTCATAAAAAAATCAATTTAAATCAAGAAATTTTAGCATGGGAACATGAACGTTTCTCTATACATCGTTTACCTAGTTTAACATTATCTAATTGGCCATCTGTACAAATTGCAAATCACTGGCGTCAAACATCTTTAGATGGTATTCATATTATCAATAAGAATAATAATAATAATCATATATCAATGGATCTTTCTAATCAAACTACTCTACATTATGGTACTGTTCATTCAGCTGTATTAGCTCGAAATACTCGTGTTATTTTAGAAGCTCTACTACGTGTTCTATATGATATACATTCAAATCAGTCAATTATCATGAATATTTCACCAATTGTTGAATCTCATGTAAATTTATTTATTTTTAGTTTGTTTTGTTCATTTGTTTACTGGCTTAAAATGTTTTGTTCTCAAATGCTCTGGTATGTCTGAGAGTGGGGAGAGTTAGCTCTCCTTATCAAAATGCTCTCATATGGCCACTGACAGGGAAGTCCTACTCACTGCCTTCTCATGGTGGGGGTGTTGTTTACGAACTTGAAAGGATTAAAAGCGAATGTCGGGCGCTTTAACCGGGTCGGTGGGGACGGAGGATCCACCTAGGGAGTTGGAAAACCCTGATTTCAAACCAATAAATTTCATGGGCTCCAGGATCCTGAAGGAACAAATGGCGTATGGACCAATTATTGGTCACCGTCTACCGTTGAACTCCACCTCCCGATGTTACTCCACTGCCTTGTGGATTAGACCTTCAGGTCAAATGCTCTGGGTGTGACCCCTTAAGAAAACCACCTGCTTTGTTTTGGGCACTCGGGTAGTATCACGGCCCTCACACAAATCAAATGAGATTTTTGTGGCGCATATGTATTCGGTGCCCCTCTGTACCAATGTTTATGTGTTTAAATAAGTAAAATTTTGGGTTTATTAACCGGATTTACATCTGTATCTCAACGATAATATTCATGCCAAAACTTGTATTCACTACCCAATGCTTTAAACATTACTGTGGTGATGGTTTAATGGCTAAGTCACAACTTTGTACAGTCGGATGGTATCATTAACTCTCATAGCTAAAGTTTTGTACGTGTCTTACGATACAAACATTTATTTAGTAAGTGAATTATTCATTGTGACAAAATACATCCTGGATTGTAATGCTAGCTAGTCTAATGTTAAGAGTACAATCAACTTTTAAATGGTAAGTATTATTCTGGCACCCATCCCCTAATAGGAAGTTGCAAAATTTGGTCCGAAATGTATAGATGAAACTCATACAGTCAATGACATTTACATTTATAAAATATTTATTCCCAAGTTTTATTTCTTATAGTTTGAGTGTATTATTTGACAAGAGTAGTGGTTTTCTGAGGCTCAACTTTCAACTATCAGGTCACAGATTTGAACTTCATTACACCTACTTCCTTTCAGACAGCTGGATAGTATGGGATTCGATCAGCGTTAGTCACGAATAACGTAGGATCTGGCACATATGTGAATCATTTCAAGTTAACTCACTTTATCAGTATATCAATATTATATTATCAACATAAATGCCAGAGTCATCGAAGCAGTAACAGTATCAGGGACATTGAAAAGCATTAGATATGGACATGAATAAATGAGAAAAAAAATTAATTCATACCATGAAAAGTACAAGATAATTTTAAAACTTGAAATGACAGAGTGAATACATTTACGTTATTGCAACCGATCCTGAGGTATATCACCTAACGTCTCCATCCATAGATTACGATAATCGCATTTAACTCAATTAGATAGTATACAATCACCAACATTACTCAAGTCAATAACTGAATTGTATTCATCAACATGACTATAAACAATTGACCAAGCAACCATAATAATTTTTTTTACTGAAATAAGAATGTTCAAGGATAGTAATATGTGTAAACCAGTTCAACATCTTACTGTGAATATAGTGGGTTTTTCCCCTGAGTCATTATAATTTAAATGAATTAAGTCTCAGGTTCTGACCCTCATCTCATCTTTACTTCAGTTTAAATAAGAAGGTAGTATCATGAAACTGTAACCGTAAAAGCCAACTTTTTACTTGTACTAAATTATAGTAATTTTAATAGTTGAATTCAAAAGTCAATTGAAGCCAGATCTATTGTGAGACTCCTCAGTGATAGCGTGCATCCACGATCTCGCCTCACGAGATTCAAACCCAGTCATTCACACCGTTAGTTACCGACCAACTCAATGGTCTAATGGTTAAGCGCTTGTTCGCGCGCGCAAGACTGATAGGTCCTGGACTCGAATCTTATGAGGTAAGATTGTGAATGTACACTACCACTGAGGAGTCTCACAATAGGATGAAACAACCATCCAGTTCTTCTACACTTTTATAATTCAATACTTACTTTGAAATTAATAGTGTTTTATCTAATCTATTTCATTTACATGTATATATATAGTGGTCTAATGAAATCACAACAAGTACATTATTAGATTTAATTACTAAAACTCCTCGAAGTGCACAATATTTAACTTCCAAATGGATTACACATTATAAATCTATGGAATATATCACTTCAACAGATCGTAAAGATTCTTTCATCAATAGAACAAGTATTATTAAAGATTTAGAATATTATTTATCACAAATGATTGATGATGTTCATTCAATTCAATATTCATTAAATGATGAAACTATTAAATCCAGTGATAAAACATCATCTTCTAATCATAAAAATAATCGTATAAAAAGTAATACTCATTTAGATTCTAGTGAAACAGAATTCAATTCAATACCATCAATGATTATTACATCATTAGCAGCATCTACAGAAATAGATGTTATTTTATATACTGATATAATTCCATGTATTATGTCTGTTCATAGGTAAGTTGTAAATGTCCGGTAGTTTCTGTTGTTGTTGTTGTTGTTGTTTATAGTTGTATTCTTTTGCTCTACAAATGACAAAGGTGTAATTCATCTTCATTAACATCAAGATTATAGTATTAGAAGTTGTTGATGATTTCTTGGAAAATTTAACCTGACCTTGACGTGGTGGTCGGGTTTGCCTATCGTGATGAAGCAACCGAGCTATACTGGCTGGAACAACCGTTCCTCAAGGTCCTACCATGTCAGACAGGTCGGTTGAAGAGCGGTAAGACTAAAAGCAACAAACTCAAGGTCCGAAGGCGAAGTCGTACTGCTGACTGTACAGAGGTGTGACAGCAGTAAGGTGTTTCTTTCAGACAACCAGTATAACAGCGATGCAGCCTTCCCACAAGGAGGGGTAGGGTTAGAAAAGGTCGACCCTAAAAATGCACACCTCACCTTAACCCACGGATATCCGTCTCTGGCGCTAAGGTCCCAACAAGTACAAAGCTAACACAAATTACCCATAAAAAGGTCGTGTGTGGCCGACCACAAGCAGTTGTCCCTTGGACACTGCCGTCACGCTCTCAAGTCACTAAGACCACCTCTAATCCAATTTCCTTTTCAGGCACCTTCAGAAGAGCCCTTCCACGGTGTGGTCAACCGGGAAGTGATAACCGCCTTCATACCTCTAACAGCACTCAGGACCACTGACTGACTGAATGGAAAATTTAATAAAAACCAAGTGGAATACTAAAAAATTACATAAGAAATGAATCAGTACACTTTAGATACTTTCAAAACTGTTGAGATGATCCAGAAAACTTCTCACAAAAGATAAGAAAGGCTCAGGAAACACTAAGAAACATTTCATCAAATCAGTGTTCACTTGAACTTTAGCCAGAAACATCAAGAAAGTGAAAAGTCACATGTAGAGTTTCTGATTGGCTGATTACTATACTGCTACTATGTTGAGTAGCATCCCAGAATCTTCGGGAAACCCAAGGACATCTAAAATACTATAAAAACCCTGTATTTTCTGTACTAGGAAGAACCTTTGGAGTAAAGTACTTCTCGCATACTTTTCACCTTTTCTCTCGTGTTCAGGTCGCTGTGTAGTTCTAACTTGGGAGTTACAATAATAGCTTATGAACCGAATAAAGCCTTCATTTAGCAAGATTTATCGAAAACAAACTTATCATACTTTTTCTAAATCTAATGGAATAGTATATTTTCCCCCAATCTTCTAGAACCTTGATTTTTTCAAATACACTTCCATTTGGAGGGGTTTTGTGGAGATTGTAGTAATTTCAATAGTTGAGATCATGAGCCAATTGAAGCTAGACCATCATGAAAACCTGGAAGTATTAGACGGCCATTTCGTTCTAGTATGGAACCCCTCAGCGATACGCATTCACGACCCCGTCACGTGGATTCGAGCCTAGGACCTATCAGTCTCGCGCGCGATCGCTTAACCTCTGGACCACTGAAATGGCCGGTATCCAATCGTGTTCATGTCTAACTTCAACTAATCCACCATTGTCATCAGTGAATTACTATCTCACAACTGACCCGGTTAACTCTACTGGTCGCTGCTTCTTGCTAGAACTCCAGGATATACATCTTGGAGCCAGTCGTGGATGCGCATTGCTAAGGAGTCCCACAATAGAACGAAACGGCCGTCCAATGCTTCCAGGTTTTTCATGGTGGTCTAGCTTCAATTAACCCATGATCTCAACTATTGAAAACACCTATTTTTATATGTAATTCAACGTTCAAAGTAGTGCTTCTATTTCCTTTTGATGGAGTTGAAAATTTTCAAAGACTAAAAGAAATCCATCGCCTGAACTGTCCAAAGTATAAGATTTATTATATTGAATAGCTGTTTCATTTTAGGTTGGTATTTTTGCGTCTAAAAACCATAGAGTATCAGGTAATCACGTATAAAAGTTTGCTCCAAATACCTCTGGTATGGCCGAGGTTGGAGAGAGTCAGTCCTATTCATCGCCTTCTCGCGCCGGAGGTATTGTTTACGAAATTGAGGGGACGAAAAGTGAAACTCCGGCATTTTAACCGGGTTGGTGGATACGGAGGATTCACCTAGAGGAGTTGGAAAACCCTGATTCCAAACCAATAGTGCACATGGGCTCCACGATCCTGAGGAAACGAGTGGCGTATGAACCAATTACTGGTGACCGAGTACCATGGGAATGCATCTCCTGACGTCGCTCTACTGCCTTGTGTATATATACCTGTCGATTTCTAGCTAATTTAATACAAGATTTCTAATAAAAAAACCAGTGATTATTTATGTTCTTTTTCCCATTTCGAATCTCATTCAATAAATGCGGGAATAAAACGGCAATTCATTCATTTTTTGTCTAAAATGACAATGAAAACTCAACCATTAACCTATCTACTTCATAAAGATATTTTTTAAAGGAAGTTTTTTCTTCTGTTTTCTTTCCTCTTGAAGGCTAAAGTCGTTCATATTTGATTTTGCTAGTGCTTGTTTAATAACTGGTTACCTTGGATTGATGTATATGTTCTTGGAGGTGAGTTTTACCTGTTGTATTCTGTTCTTTTTTCCGTGTCAATATAACATTTGAAATGTTTCAATTCCGAGGTCTTTAATACATTGGTTGTTGGCTTTTTATGAATAGATTCAGGAACTATCGTTCTTTTAAACTTCAACTATGATATGTGAATCTGACTGATCACTTGGCATTAACCGATGTCAAGTATATTTACTCGCTAGTATTAAGCTAGTTTCATCACTAGTCATCGCGTATACTATGCTTTGATTTTAAGTGGTTGAAGACAATCAGAAAAAAGCTGTACATTTAGGTGTAATACTATTTGATTCTCGTCAGTTGAACACAGCTACAACCTTATATATGATATAGTAATATCTCTGACTGCAACACAGTGTGGAGTTAGATTCGAATCCCCCGGAGCAACATCAGCTCTTGTATAGACCTCAAGACTTCCTATTGTAATTCCTCCAACTATACATACTCTGATTACCATAACATGAAACGGCCTATCTAGTGTTCTGTTGAATGACTAAATGGTTCCAACTCGTGTAGATGGTATATACTTTACAATTGCAGACAATTTGAAATCTTCCCGACAATCCAGTGTATGGAATAGTGGAAATTTAACATACGATGAAAACGTTCCGTCAATCTTCATTATATTCTGAGCTAACATGTACAGATGGAGCAATTAGACCGGCATTAGCTTTTAGATTTTAAGTAGAAAAAAGTCAAATAATCAACCATTTTTCAATATATTGATCTTGACTAACATATATCGGTCGAGTGTTTATAATTTTGATGGTTGCTAAATTCAAACATAAGTTATCTTTGTGAGAGTTTGCTCCGTCTATAAACCACTGGTTCCGTACTCCACGTTGTCATTGTATAATATCAAACCATCCGCAACATTCTGTGAATATCTCACTTTATACGTACGACAGCCTTTCAACTGAACGTTTATTAAAACTCTCTTTTACCCTACAGACAAATATTTCAAATTAATTTGGAGTTGAATCACCTCCGGATGATGATCAAAAATACTTTCGTTGTTGTTTTAATATTCACAACTCTACTGCTGAATACTCACAATGGTATGGAGGGAAAATCATCATACAAAACCTACCTAGGTCGAAGTGGGTTATTCAACAAAACCCTTTTCGATTTCGCTGACACTAAAGACAAAACTGTATTTGAAGGTTGGATAGACTATTCAGATAAAGTTCAACGATCTAAAGCCACGCTCGTACCACTTCATGGACAGGTAAACTTAATTTATATATGCAATTTAACTGACACCATGTTTAGAATTACCAATCAGCCACATTCTTCTATCTACTCAACTCACGACCAAATGGATCGAGTTTTGCTGGCGTCCACAAGATAATTATTGATCCGGTTTGGCCAGTATATGCCGGTGTAGTAATTGATTTACATAGACAAGGTCTAGATTCCAATTTCAAACTGATCTTCTATGGAAACTGTGTGGATATACAAAATTGTGTATCATATGAGTCAGATTTTAAGGTATTGTGAAATTCAGTTAAGTACAGTAATTCAATTTGTTTTCAATGAAACCCTTATAGACATCTGGCGTACGACAACGAATAGAAACACCATTTAGCAGACATACACAGCGCATTCCTGGAATACAGAATTCTATTCCATTACCTTCAAACTTAAACCAAGTTTCTCGATTCGGAATACAAGCATATACAAATAGAAACGGGACAAGAGAGCACTTTGGTGTAGGTCCTATCGAAATATTCACTATTTCAATATATAAAGAAGCTCAAAAGTCAGTTTGAATGAACCGACATTATATGGATATATGATATGTAGCACTTATTGATACTATGGTAATTTTCGTTTATATTGAATGACTGTCAATAAATACAACATATCAACCTGTGAGTATTGAATGTTTTCATGGGTTCCTTATAGTTCACACGAGCGTCAAAGAAAGCAAACTGTGATGTAACTCGAATGGCTGAATAGAAATGCATTCAAATAATTCCTGATTACCTCGGAGTAACTATGAGTCGTTGTAGACACATCGAAAAACGATTACTTTCAAGAACCAAACCAATTGGTAATATTTAAAAACACGACTTTCAACGAATAGATCTCTTTCGGAGGGACTGATTATAAAGCTGTATACTTGCATATAGATATGAAGAACATTTCTCTAAATGTACTGGTTTCGTGAGGAATAATTGAAGTAATGTAATAGTGAGGTTATCATACTAGATCACGTAATATGAATAAAAACAAAAGACTTAATAATTTAACATCGAGCCACCACATGAATGCTGAAAGGTAACTAACATGCTCTTGTAAATAAAGATACACTTAAACACTTATACAGTATTTCACACTTATATATACTACTCATTATTGTATTTCTGTCATCATGAAAACTGTGAATGATTGATTTTCTCTAAGGAAATCACTTACAGTGTTATGTTCCATTTCTCAAGTACTTTCAGTGAATAACAGTCAGTTGATCTGGAAATCATTACGATGATTTTCAATACTAGACAAGCACGGGAAACAACAAGGAATAACCAGAGACAATTTGTGTTGAGGAGGAAGTGATGGGGGTTGAGAACATAGTGAAAATAAAGCATGATTTAATCAATCGTAATAACCTTGACAATAATGTAAAATAAAAATTTATTAGTGATTAATAATAATCATAAGTGACTTGATCAAATTAAGTTTATATTCAACATTTACCTTCCTGAATTCAAAAGTGCAGTTTACAAAATATAATTTAGGATGGTAGATATAACTGCAGAAGCATTTTGACTAAAATGCGCAGATGGGCTATCAACGAACCCATTAATGTCACGAATTCGATTATCATGCTACCTCTTTAAGAAAGAGCAACTGTTTTTCCTAACAAAAAACACTTCTTGACAAGATCAATATTATATTGAATAATCACCAAAAACTTCAGAAACAGAATGAGCAAAAGGATGTCAATAAAAGATATAGACAGATCGGGACGGATCATTTGCGAAGCTCAGATATCAGCAAGTGATTCCAACAAACATCGACGGAACGATTCGCTCGCTAGCTACCCGCTTACCGATGTTATGCAGACTACGAACGTACATTTCAAATTCAGTGGTGGAATGTATAGACTAATAGATTGTGTCGCTACGGGTTCACCCTCAGGTCACATATTGACGGACATTTTACTCGCCGAACTAGAAGGCACTCCACTAGTACTGACAAGTTTTCATTTTACTGCCAATATATGGACGACACGTTTATGTATTGAAATGTCCATACTGACCTCAAATATACGCTTTAGCGATTCAACAACGTCCGCTCTTCCATAAAATTCGTATTATTTTACATTTTATTCTACGTTTTTCTCTCTTTGTGTCTCTCTCTTATGTCATGTTGACCATATTTATTCTGACCAATATTTGTCTCACAGTTTCATTTCACTTATAAATTCATTCACGTTAACACTTAGTATTAGTCAGCCTAACATGAACGATTCGATGCCATTTTGTGTGCCATACTCTGCCCTAATTATCTGATAAAGTTATTTGGATTATTGATTTCAATAATCCGCCCAAACTGGACACATTGAAGAATCCATTACAATCCCATCTATTTGCCTATATATTTCATTGTTGAAACTCAACTTGACATTAAACGTACAACGTAAAACGCATTGAACGTATGTGATCAATTGGGTCTGTCGTTACTATCAACTCTTTCTTATGATTTTTCAATTACTTTGCGGTATTCTGTCTACTCTCCTTTAGGTCCGAAAATCTGGTACCTTCGTCTAGGTTAACCTCATTTTATCCAAATATCATTGAGGATCATCTAGTATCACACCGGATACTTTGACAGGTTTACAATTTTATATTAATGAATCCATGACTACCCTCCAGCAATGTAGATTTAAATGATCAAGATCTTGTGGCGTTGTTGGTAGAAGTTAGGTTGATCTAGTCTTGTAGAGCAAAATATATTGACCGACGTCACGGGAACATGCCACAGTGTGGTTCTACAAGAGTGAGAAGTAAGCAGTTAAAATCACAGCCAGAACTATGCGTACGGAAAGAAGTGTATCCCATCTTTATCGTTATGCTGGCTTTATTCTATTAAAACTATTAATGCTGAATTTCCCTATACTTATGTCTCATACTGTCATTTATTTCACACATCAGGTAACTTCATTTACTGTAACAATGAAGTGTTCATCGTCTAACTACATTCACGTTGTGATTTGTTACGGACTTATTAGGTGTAATGTAAGTATTGACATTTAGATATGTATGCAAACCAGGTGACATATGGAGGAAATGTGAAAAGTTAAGATGAAGAAGTGCATACTCATGTCTCAATTATGTACTGTGACTATTAAGGTCTACATCTATTGATCATGAATATCAATTGGATACTTTCAATCTAACTATTAGATATCCTATTGATCTCTATCACAAATGGTTAATAGCTGTTCATGAAGTGTATTCATGCCAAATTATATTTTGTAAACTGCACTTTTGAATTCAGGAAGGTAAATGTTGAATATAAACTTAATTTGATCAAGTCACTTATGATTATTATTAATCACTAATAACATTTTTATTTTACATTATTGTCAAGGTTATTACGATTGATTAAATCATGCTTTATTTTCACTATGTTCTCAACCCCCCATCACTTCCTCCTCAACACAAATTGTCTCTGGTTATTCCTTGTTGTTTCCCGTGCTTGTCTAGTATTGAAAATCATCGTAATGATTTCCAGATCAACTGACTGTTATTCACTGAAAGTACTTGAGAAATGGAACATAACACTGTAAGTGATTTCCTTAGAGAAAATCAATCATTCACAGTTTTCATGATGACAGAAATACAATAATGAGTAGTATATATAAGTGTGAAATACTGTATAAGTGTTTAAGTGTATCTTTATTTACAAGAGCATGTTAGTTACCTTTCAGCATTCATGTGGTGGCTCGATGTTAAATTATTAAGTCTTTTGTTTTTATTCATATTACGTGATCTAGTATGATAACCTCACTATTACATTACTTCAATTATTCCTCACGAAACCAGTACATTTAGAGAAATGTTCTTCATATCTATATGCAAGTATACAGCTTTATAATCAGTCCCTCCGAAAGAGATCTATTCGTTGAAAGTCGTGTTTTTAAATATTACCAATTGGTTTGGTTCTTGAAAGTAATCGTTTTTCGATGTGGGCAGAACAACTGGTTGTTACTTCGTGGTTAGCGGAATATATTCTGAACTGTTTGACTGCATTTCTTGATGTTGCCCCACCGTTCTTTTAGATTGAACCTTCAATTCAGGGACAGTAGCTGCGATCTATTTAAAGAACCTGCTTTGGTTTTAGAAATTAGGTGTTATGGCAACCTACACAGAAATCAAATGATCAGTATCAATGAAAGAAATATTCTCGGTTGAAATGTCATTCGGTTGCATTTGATCACATTACGAAGTGGTTTGTTGCGATATATAAGCGTTCAAACTGTAGCTATAGCAACATCTTAAGTTCGGGTTGGTACTTGATCTGCTACATTTGAGTGGCGTTTCCATAGATATATCAGCTGAGCAATCACACTTTTGAAACAATAATCATGAAATTTATTTCTGATGTTGATTTATATGTTTCCTTAGCATACTACATCAACAATCCCTGTAATAATGAAAATAATTTAATGTATAACCGACCATGATAGACAATTTGGCAACCTAGAACTGTTAATAAACTATTCAGAACCGTAATGATAGCGGATGTCTCAAAAATGATAATGATAGTGAAACATGATGTGCTACGAACTAACTCCACAACTGACTACTTGAACGAGAAAGTATGTTTGGCTAACAAATTAGAAGCAAAATTACTGATAAATATATACAATTATATCGCTCTGCATAATAACCCATATCATAGCCTACGAAATCCAGTTGTCCTTTATATATTCATTCTGATTATCATCACTTGACATTCTCGTCAGGCCACAAGTCCCACAAATTTGAGAGAAACTGATTTGTCTAGTTGATTGCTGATTGGTGTTTATCAAGTCGGATTATAGAATGTCAACAAATGTTCTCGTTCTTTCTCTGTTCTCAAGGGTGAATATCCTTGTTCGTATTGTAGCTGTAATAAATATCATATTATTGAAAGACGTCCTGAGATTCATAATCTGAATATTACACACTCACATAAGTATAGTTCGAGTTGTGGAGTACTAATCGGGTATGTACCCTAACGAATGTTCATGCAATCCATAAGAATATATGGTGAACAGTTAAAATTTCAAGAGGATACTACTGAAATCATAAATAGATAGCTTGATCGGAGTCGAAATGGTTGCTCTTAAACGAGCAGCGTTCTTGAACACAACCATGCCAACTGTGCTGATCGCATTGTGATCGACCTGTGTCCTGGTCCGAGATGCAGAGGAAGGGCACTGGGTAGGTTATCGACCACAAATTTGTCAGTAGTTATTGCAGTCCTTGATCAGTATTAGTCTACGCACCTTTTCAGAAAATGGTCAGTGGTATCTGACTTGCGACCAACAAGTCCACAATGGACACCAGAACGACTCTCTTCTGTGCATAGACACACGACGTGAGCACTTAGTTCTCCGGCTAGTACTACAACGTCTGTCGAACGCACGTTTTGGATTGTCGAATTTTAACTCTCCAGAATTTGATCTCAACACTCTGAATCAACCTATCATCTAAAGTCATGAAGACACATATGTACACCAAAAATGATGCTACATGAACAGTTGTTCCACACATTTCGACTGATGATTTGTTCAACATACATTTCAGACTATCACAAATTCTGGACGCTACTAGAGTTCAGTTGAGAAAGAAGTGATTGACCTGACTTTAAGTCTTAGCAGGTTTAGCATAGTTTTTCATCATTTTGAAACTCAAATTTCCCACAGACAAATATATAAGAGAGAAATGTGCAACTGGTCTTACTGTGAAATAGATTTTCGTCATACACACGTTTTTCTATCTGAACTCGACGCTAGTTTTCATGTTACGCAAAACGACAAAGTCTGAAACGCATGTTCCACGGAATCTAGTTCGCAACAGTAAGACTTGGTCACTAAATAATTGATGAATCTATAGGCTGTAGTCGCTAAAAGCAGAATTCTCTAGTGGCTTGGTGTTTGAAACATTGAAATATTATTTTACAATATGATTACAAAGATAGTTTTACGGCTTATGTTTTCAATGTACATTGAGTTTTCAGTTGTTGTGATATATCCATAACAGTTAGTATTGCTTCAGATTGTCCAGAATTTAAAGGCTTCCAAAGGTGTATTCCGTTAGTCAAGTCCTGTTTAATCTATTTCACACACTTTCGACGCAACCATTAAGCAGCTTAATTCATCTCGACAATTTCATCTCACATTCACGAACAAACGCTCATTTGTTGGCCAATGAAACATAAGATACAACCAACGCAATGCAATAGTACGTGTGTGATATATTATAGCAAGAAATCAAACGGGTCACGTCATATGAGTAAGCTGACTAGATGAACATTAGGGAATCAAGTGAAAATGAGATCACACGCACTCATTTTACGTGATCGTTGGTGAGCGTGAACTAATGATCAGATTCATGTTCACTCAAAATACCACAATGATAAACTGCGAAAAACAACTGGTTGAGCACCATGCGCTGTATCAACGTAAACATCCAGGTTGAGATACAATCAAGAGAATATCATGAGGATATTTTGTATGCTAAATATGATTGCAGGTTTCGTCAAAATGATTTTATTTAGAATATCAATACATACAGTATCACTATGAAATTTGTGAAGTGCAATGGTTCGTGCCTCGTCATTTGTACTCAACGTTGAGGATAATACTGCAAACTGCAGTTCACAATGTCAACATGAGTAATGTTGTGTATATATGTTAATTAATATTGACCAGATATCCATTGACAGATATCACTTTATGACTTGTTACTGAAACAATGGAGAATATCGATTTCTTGTCAAGTATTCAAATAGAAAATTCGAACGTGTGAAACACGTCTGATGTGTACAATGCGATTAACCAGTCTGTAGTAGTTCATCACGGGCTAAACAAAATAAGCAATGAGGGTGAAACAAATTTACCCCACTCTAAAATTTTTAAAATCGTATTTGTTTCTACATTAAACTTGTCCACTTCATAAAGATGTTTCTATGTGCTGTTTAATGATTGTTGTTGTTTGAACAAAACGTTGAAAGTCTCAACAATATGCCATATCAAAGTATTGGCCGAGTAATCCAAATAAACAACAACCGTTATAAGAAAATCACAACACGACCGATTCAAATACCTTTACCCATCATCACGTTTACCTATTATTTACTCAGTGGGAGATATGAGATATATTGTCTAACTGTTGAGCGTTAGATACTCACTCTTCATGCTAATTTTATGTAGCTGAGAATCAAGTCATTTGGAATGGATTGCACAATCGGCTATTTGTTTGAATATTCACTATAAAGATGAAGAATGCTTAATGGGATCCCTCCAACTGAAATAGTCCAGATGCATCGTGACAGTATTCAGCTTTTCAAATTTTAAATTTTCATCTGACAGATCATGCAGAGAATATACATCATGTTTATGAGAATAATCTGTAATGAAATAAATAAAGATTTTCAAATTACCTGAAGATTCATCTGATGCGTTTTCGGGTTCATATGTGTTGCTTATCTCAAATGAACTGGTTACTCTGAGAAACAACAATGACGACTTGAACAATTTTGTGTTTTCCTATGACATATAGTGAATAATCACGCTTATAGAGTACAGACGAATCATTATCGTCTGGTTCAAACTATTTTCAACACTATTCTTAGATTGGAATTAAGCATTCAAAGAAAACATTTGGTCAAATCGGTGGTATTGTGATATAAAGATTGAATGTAACTAATCTTGCAACTTTTTTAGGATTAAAATGCACTAAGTGATTATATTCCACATAAATACTGTTAACGTTACGGCCCTTCGCTACGTTGATGAAAATCAGTGTCAAATAAACATTGCATACATACACACACGTATATGAATGATAAATTTTCAGATAAAGGGTAGTATTAACTGGTGACCTAATTAAAGAATATTGAGGACAGCACATGTTATTTCCTTATACTTCACATTACAGATTGGTCTGAGCTGAACACCCACCTGACATTAAAATGCTTTTGACTGTCTTTTTATTTAAACATCAGACTCATGAAAGACGCGCATCGAAGGCCTCAATGATGGTCAGAATGTTTCATTGTTAGGCGTTGTGGGAAGCGCTTAACCCTTTAAAGTATTATCCGATATCCTACAGTTTGCATGTTATTCTCAGTCAGTTTTCTCTGTTAGAATAATCACAAATAAAATTTACAAATGTAGATTAACTTTTATTTAAGTTTGTAAAGATGAGTATGACTATCTCGCTGAAAAACACTTGAAATTCGTCATCAGCTTCTCTTTTATATATTGACAGTTTTGTTCACAAAATTTGATGGGAGACATCAGAAAGTAAGACAAATGATATCTTCTTATTCCAGGCCTTTCATGATCTACTCCATGGATAGGAGACGTCTATGAATAACAACTAGAAGAAGAAATCAGGTAATCACTTCAATACGTCACGAGGTTCTGGACTAAAATAAACACCACCACAAGGAATGGATAACTATTAATACACTGAATGAGATTTAAGAAAGGAGGAAGTAGAAAGCAGCAATCAATGCCAGCTGAACAAGAGCGGAGAAAGACAAAGCTGAAGCAGAATACACAGAAGTTAACAAGCAGGTGAAGAGAGGCATCAGAAAAGAAAAACATCAATATGTGGAGTATCTATCAATGACGGCGAAAAAGGCTGCAATAGAAGTAAACATGAGTCAATCGTCTGACTTACCAAAGAAAATCACTGGAAATTTTCGGAAACCAGAACGACCCGTGAAAAACTAGGAGGTCAAAGTAATCACGAACATCGAAGTACAGCCAACGCTTCAAAGAACTCACGAATCGACTAGCTTCACTGAACACACACGATATCGAAGTAGCATCGGCGGACCTCCTAATGAATGTTGGCCCACCAACAATAGGAGAGATCAATATGGTCATCAATGTAGTAAGTGTTACGTTCAAGCTTTTGCTTGTTCCCGTTATTGAAGTACGGTATATCGATCTAATGGCAATTTACGAACCAAATTAACAATGGAAGCAAACACCAATTTAGGTACCAAAGTTTATTCGCGATTTACAAATAGTCTGCCCAAATGTCCTCCACTTCGTATGTTCCCACAGCAAACAGTACGAAATGCCGAACGAAAGACAAAGAGAAATAAAAATGTCAAAAATAATGATATAAGCAAACAATTTCGGAAGTTAATTATGACTTGGTTTTCACTGTGGCCAGTTTATAAGTGAAATCAGATTGTGAAATAATTATTGATTAGAATAAATATGGTCAACCTGGTATGAGATTTAGTCATAGAATAGTGCAATTTGAAATCAGAAATAGTGTAATATGAAGAGTAATATAACTTTATGGACGCGTGAACTTCATTGAATCGCTCAAACGTTTCTACCAAGCCATTATGACCATTATGGAAGATAAACGTGTCGTGCACGTGTCAGCAGTAAAACGAAACTTGTCAAACTGTTGCGTTAACTAACCATTTTCTAGTTTATAGGGAAAAATGTCAGTGAGTTCATCGTCAGCCTCCTTGTAATTTTTTCACTTAAAATACTTCTGTAGATAAATCAACTATAATTAAACTGATAGCAAAATTTCAACTATATTGTTACAGACACGTTGTGCTTGTTCAAGCTGCTTAACCTAAAACAACAGTCTGCTAACAGATGTTAAAAAAAATACTCAAAATGTGGAGCTAATAACTTCAGAGCCAATTGATCGCATCCGTCCAGTGCGTTTTCTGTGATAAACTTAATGTCCAGTTTGGTTTTAACAAAGATTTATGTAAAAGAGAAGATGAGGTTGTAATAAGATCTCAATTGAGTCTAGTTTAAGCCGATTATGAAGTGTTAAATTGAATCAGATTATAAGTGAAATCAAATGATGGGATAATTAATGATCGGATAAAATATAGTCAACATGGCGCAAAGGGGAGATAGAGGGAGAATAGTGTAATTACTTAGTCACTTGCTAGTGCCTGTAACGCCCGATGGTCCATAGACCGCCAATCAGCATCCTGCAATCCACTCTGCCCTGGGCTATGCTTTGCAATTCTTTCCAATGTTTGTTTGTTCTTCTCATATTTTTCTCCGTTTCTCGGCACAATGTGTTCTTTGGTAATGTAGGATAATATGAATTTGATAGACGTATGAACTTGAATGAATCGCTCATGTGATTCTATCAAGACAGTAAGGTCATTACAAATGATTACCGTATCGCCCATATTTCGCTAGTCAAGTGAGAACCTGTCAATTTTTTGTGCCAGTGGATCTTTATAAAGTTTGGAGGGAAAGTGTCTACCAATATGGGACCATAGTGTGAACAAATCGCGACACAATCTACTTGCTCAAACACTTCACCATTGAATTTGAAATTGCGTTCACTGCACATGTTAGTAATAACTCATCGGTGATCTAACACAAATTGAAGTATCTAAATTCACTGCTTTACTAAGTGTTTGTTGAGTGTATTTAAAATGGTTACTGATGACTTTGCTACCGAATGATTAGAGGAATCTTGTATGTTCAAAATTACTTTCAATGAGATATCCGGTTATTGTAGCTTCTGTAGTCCGTCTGACATAGGTAAATGTGCACCTATCTGCCTAGTTGTTTTGTCTACGTTTTCTGTTATCACTTGTTGATTTCTGAGCATCTTCACGCGTATGGTCAAATCATTCTCTATGTTATCATTTACATCCATTTTGTCATTCAGTTTCTGAAAGTTTCGGTGATCATTCAAATTATAATTCATCTTGTCAATGTAGTCACTTCTGTCAAGCTGAACAGTTCCTGCTCTATTATCAGGTTTAGTGATGATAGAATCCTCGTCATCATTGATTTCATTGATAATCCCATTGTGTTAACTAGAGTAATATGCAACTCTTTTGGGTATGCAATCGATTTTTTGTATTTCAAACTATTTTGCTATAAACACTCGACCTAGTCTCCAAGTTTCACAGAGCGACTAGCTTTGATGCGGTTGTCTCCTGCTAGCGAACTCATGACAATAGGTTCGCTTCATGAATAATTGACCAATGGAGAGAACCTACATAGACTGAATTCACACTTGCTATCTATTCCATAGTAGCATAAACGTAGGTGTCTCAAATATTCAAATGATGCGTGAAAATATGATTAATAAGCTAATCCTACAGCTTTAGTTTTCAATATGCATTGAGCTTCTAATCATTCCAATACACCCATACAAGTTAGTAGTGTTGTAGGTTATTCAGGACTTTAAAAGCTATCATACATGTGTTCCGATAATCAGGTCTTGATCAAACGGTTTCGTACTTGTTCCACACAACACGTAGGTCATTCAGTTGATCTCGATAATTACATCTCAAATTCTTCAAGAACGTTTCATCCAAATGATTATGTTTATGTAGATGTTCGTCATGTGACTAAACACAATACCATTATAAATTTCAGAGTGTGTCAATGCATTAGTATGTCTATGATATAATACGGCAAGAAATTTGACGATCACATCATATAAGTAGGCTGATTGAATGACCGTTAGCTAATCATCTGAACATGAAATATTGCGCATACACTTGATGTGATTGATGGTGAGCTGAAACGAAAGATCAGTATTATGTTCACTTGATCACATTGTTGATCAGTGAAAATATAACTTGGATAACTCCATCCATTGTATTAACGCAAAACATCCAGTTTAGTCTACAATCAACAGAACATCAAGGGGATAATTTATATGCAAAACGTGACCGTACAATTTGTTAGGACTATTTTATTTTGCAATGATTCGTGTCTAATTACTAGTAGATTGAGGACAATCATGTAATCTACAGTTTACAAAGTGAATATGTTTTATATCATACACAAAATATTTCGTAAAGTTGACCAAATACCCAGCGACAGACGTGTTCTTACGATTTCATAGTGAAGTAATGAGAAATATGGAATTCTTGCTACATATTGACATATAGAACCATAACTGAATAAACACGTCTGATATGTACAAAAGAATAAAGTAGTATGTAGTTGTTCACTAAGAGCTTCGACGCAATAAGCGGTGGCGCTGTAACTAATATACGCTATTGAAACATTTTCGAAAACGTAGTTGTTGAAAATTTAACTTGTCAGCTTCATGTGGATGTATCTATGTGTTGATTGACGATTGTTGTTGTGTGTAGTGATCGCCTATATCTTGAACCACTTCATGTCACATCAAAAGATTCACCAAGTAATCTAATTAAGCAATAACCTAATAACGAAATAGCAACACGGCTAATTCCAATACGTTTACTCATCAACACCTTTACATAGTAGTTACTCAGTGGGGGATATGTGATATCGTGTCTTTATTGTCAGTGTTTGCAGTTTTGTACCCACGTATTTACTCATTCTACGTAACTGAGATTAAAATCATTTGAACTGAATTGGACAATCATTTACTACTAAGAGTATTAACTATAACTTTAAACCATTCGCGATATTGCGCAACAGTCTCACCCTTTACTGATATCATTTTTTCAACCAAAAGTCAGTTTGTTTCATTTTACTTGACAACTGATTCGGTAATTAAAAGTGTCAGTGTTTAACTTTAGTCAGTCTACGATTTTGCAGGACCATCTCACACTATACTGATAACGCATTTTCCATTGGACTTCAATGAAAATTTTATTTTACCTTACAGATAAATAGTTTAACTGAATTCTAATCTGTTTCATCTCACAATGGCCTTGGAGGTATCTCCATTACCGTTGCATTATTTACAACTCTATTACTCAACACTTGCAAAGCTATGAAGGAAAATTCATTGAAAACCTCCGTCACACAGCGAGATGATTTAGCCAATCTCACTCTCTTCAACTTCACTGATTCTAACACAACCGCATTCGAAAATTGGACTTAGATATCAGATGCAACTCTATTTGGAGGGCGATCTAAGGCTGCACTCGTACGACTTAAAGGACATGAAAATTTTATTCATATATATAATTCAGCCAACATCATGTGTAGAATTACCAATCAGCAATTTTCTTCTATCTTCTCACTCCACGAGGAAATGGATCAAGCTTTGCTGGAGTTCACAGGATAGTGGCTGATGATGTTTTGCATGCATATGACGGTGTAATAACTGGCCTACATAGACAGGGTCCACATTCTCATTTCAAATTGTTCTTCTTTGGAAGAAGTCTGAATACACCATATGAAACGGTTTTCGAGGAAACGCGAGATTTTATTATGTAGAGTAACTCAATATGTTTTCTGTGAAATTTTTATAGACGACTGGAAAACGACAGCAAATAGAATTACCATTTGGAAATTTCAAATTGTATCTTCGTGGAACACCGCAAACCGTTTCAACCTTTTCAGAGGTATCGAATATATCACGTATCGGTGTAAAAGCACATGAGTGCACCAATCAATCTGGTCCAGGTGCCGTCGAAATATTCTCTATTTCAACATATAAGAAAAAAACAGTTTAAAGAAATCGAGCTCCCATGGATTTTAAAATAAATGATACATAGTATTTATTTATGAATTAAGTACTTTTGTTAATAAATATCATCCACTTATCGGCGAGTCTTGACTGTATTTTTGGTTTCTTGAAATCCATATAAACATCAATGAAGGCAAGCGGTGATGAAACTCAGGTATGTGATCAAAAACGTATTCAAATGATTGAAAATATTTCTTTGTTACCTTATCACTGATCTTCAGGTGTTTAACACACATGGAAAAACGGTTTACTTTCAAGCTTAAAATGATTGATAAATTTCAAAAAACTCAAACTTTATTGAAAGGAATTCTCTTCCACGAACTTATAATCAAGCTGTACAGTCGTATATGGATAATAATATCATTTGTTGTAATACATGTTCCGTGGGAACATACTAACTGGGAATAATCATGATTACTCAATCGACTGATTGCGATACTTGATTTCGTAGTGCAATTAATAACAACAAACTTGAAAAGGTGGTTACGAATAACAATGCGAATGTAGCACGATCATTGTAATATTGTTATTAGTTCAGGTATAGTAAAGTTAACTTCAGAAATATTTCCTCTAAAAAACAGTGCGAGGTCATCAATTAACTTAGTAAAGTCGAGAACTTGATTACCACCGTGACCGAATGTAGAACTCAACAAACTTGACTACATTGACAAGATGAAAAAAATCTTGAATGATCATCAAAATCCTTTAAAACTGAGTCACCCATTCAGGTAGTTTTCTTATGTTTCTTCCTAATGACCAGTCGTTTCACCATGTAACTAGAACGTCTAAAAGAGCTATCCTATACGTATTTTCTTCCTCACATGTGAACTTTATGAACGTGAAAAATTCATTGAATCGCTCAAGTGCTTCTATCAAATCAGTTAGCTTATCACAAAGCATGAATGTATCGTCCATGAATTGGCAATGAAGTGAAAATTTGTCACACTTCTCCGTGAGTGGTTGTTCTGTAATTAAAAGAAAGAAATTACGGCCGAAATTGGACCATAGTGTGATCACCATGTATTTATCTTTACATTTCACCATCGAATTTGAAATATACGTCTTAAGTACATGATATTGATAATTCCTTGATGCTACCCACAGGGATTGGAGTCTTCATTTCTTGTTCCTTATGTTGCTTCCAATAATTTTCTACAATTATGTCGAATAACTCAATGTGTTTTCTATGAAATCTTTATAGACGTTTTACGGACTACCAAACGTACACAAAGCGGTTGGTAGACAAGTTCAAAAACACAAACATTATAGGTATTACGATGCTGTCCTCACAAATGTCACACCCAGAGTAGCTGTAGAATATTATTGCGAACGAAATAGATAACAAAAAAATGAAACCAAAATATCTGTGGAGATTGTCAAGCAATGTTTACCAAAATATGCTGTGAACGTATATTTGAATTTCAATGATATAACATATATATACAAATAGACGGTGTTACGATGGGTTCACAAGG